AATATTTCTTGTTTATAATGGATTAGATCCATCGCACACCACGGACTTTATCGGCCGCCAATTTAGATGTGCTCGCTAGTCTTTCCATTGCACCACAACTTATTGGTCAGAGCGATTAAGCTGGTGTAATGTGCGCACCTCCATACATCTTCATGTACATATTTCAAGCGAGTCCTATCATTTAAATAGGCGGCCGACAAAGTCTGTGGTGTGCGGTGGCTCTTATAGCTGTGTCCTTACATTTATTCCGTGTGTTGCAATATCCACGAAAGCAGCACTTAATTTTTTATGAAGAAAATTATTACAAAATATTCGAAAATTTCTCTACTTATATGTTTGACTTTTCTTTGTTTTATTTTTCCAACGTCAAAAGCTGATTTTTTTTTTTTTTGAAAAGTTGGTACAACAAAAAATACGAAACACGTTTTCTGTCAGATAGCTAACATGGCGGATAAGAAGAAGAAGTGAAACTACCTTCTAAAAATTATTGTATCATGCATTTTACTATTTATAATCCACGGTGGAGAGAATACAGGCCCGTCCACATAGAACTTTGGCGTTGCGTTGGCGTTGGCGTCGCTTCAACAGCTGAGTATGAATACATGAATTCAAATGTTGATTCCACGCCAACACAATGCAAAAAGATGGCCAACTCTCAACTTTTCGCGTGCGTCGCTCGTCAGCTGTTGCAAATAAATACAATTATGTGAAATATGTGAAAAGGTAGCGCCGATGGCAATGCCGCTAATCGACTCTCGGTGAATTTGACAGAATCAGCTGTTTTGCTGACGTCACAGTCGAGATGATAGCAGTAGTGATGTGCTGAGTCAAGACTTTTAAGTATTGATCGATATTCGGTACCGATTTAAAAAGTATCCAATGCTCTCAATACTCGGTACCGAAACATTTAGGTTTCGAATAAAAGCGCACATGGGCCAAAAATATGGAAAAAACGGTTCAGGGGAGACTCGCCTATCAAAACCCGAATGTAGGAGCCAATAGAGCTTTTAATACTGATTCAAATGAAAGATGTATGTATGTCGGTTCAAGGCCATAATACAGAGAAACTTTTACTTGTTTGAAGCATTTTTGTTCCAGCTGAATCGGACGATATCATTTTTGTAGGCAGATTCTGTAACCAGCTGCGACAATTTTCGAATCGGTATCGGTTTTGTTGACGTATGATATGAAATATTTTTACGTCAACAAGTGCGATATCGATACAAAACTTGTCGCTAACTGGTTACAGAATCAAGTATTGGGTACCGACAATTCAGCATATCACTAGACAGCAGTTTTATTTGCCGCTCTCAGCTGTCAATTCTACGGTGACGTCACGCCAAATTACTCTCACGAATTCTGCTGCAATCGGCGCATTCTATCATTCTTGTTTATAACCAGCGCTGCCGCTTTGGTCATTTTTTACCAAAACTGGTATTTTTTTTCTTTTTAGAACGAGTTTGCTAATTTGGTATTTGTTTTTCAATGTGGTAATTTTTTTCAATGTAAGTATTTTCATTTAAGTTTTTAATACTAACCTATTACTTATAAATATTTATGATTTTGAATCTTACATTTGCACAAAACAAAACAATTTGCTTATGTACTTACATATGTATGTGTCTACCCCTTAAGAGATCCAAAAAATGAAAGGGCTCTTTAATGTAATAATTTGCCTTGACAACTCAGAACTTTTAGTATGAGATCGCAATATAGCAATTTAAGGAAACCACCCATTTTTCCCAATATGGCGGCTCGATCACAGCCCCTACAGTCCCACAAATCAGGGTTTTGGATCATTTTAACCTGCCGGAACCAATTGGTGAAAGAAAAAAAACTTCACAGGACTAAATAAAATATTGCGATTAAATTACAGCCTATTTCAACAAAACGCTTAACTACAGTTAAGAGTTAAGATAATTTTAACAAGAGGTGATCTGCAGGGTTTATTTATTCGCTTTTGTTATTTTCCTTTCATTTGCTTGTACTTAATATGAGCAACTACCTCCTTCGAGTTGTAATAATAATAATAATAATAATAATAATAATAATGATAGATTGGCGCTTACACATATATTAGTGCATGATTCAATAATACAAGGCTCGATAAACTGACAGTTTTCTCTCTCGCACCGCTCCCTTAGCAGTGGCACCGTGTTGCTTCTTTGCAAATTTACTTGGAAAAAGTGTAGCTTTGGTGTGAAATAGAAGTATAAGCTTTTGTGCAATATGTTTATTTGTATATACATATGAAGCACATTTAACTTATGAAAACATAAACTTTTTTAAAATTGGATATTTACATAAAAGACGCTGTAGTTTTAAATTAATTTTGAGCCCTTTTGCAGTTTTTATACAGCTAAATAACACATAAATTACGTAATTCACGTAGATATTTTAATATTACGTTGAGTATTTCGTTTAAAATGCCAGATTTCCTGCAAATTGCATTGGAATTTACAAAAGGAATTTCACTACTAATTGCCTACTTTGCGTGCTTATCTACTACCATTTACGCACCAAGGGATTTCATTATTCGTCTTTCTCCGTCCTTCGTAAATGCAACCTTTGCAAACCGCGGCTGTCAATAATTATGTAACCTTGTATTATTGAATCATGATAATAGTGTTTGGCCGAGCTTCTCCTCCGATTTGTGGCGTGCGCCTTGATGTTGCCACACAAAGCGGAGGGACCTACAGTTTTACGCCGACTCCGAACGGCGATTGTATTTTTATGAGAAGCTGTTTTTCATGGCAGAAATACACTCGGAGGTTTGCCATTGCCTGCCGAGGGACGACCGCTGTTAAGAAAAAACCTTTTTTCTATATTTTTGCGGTGTTGCTTTGACCAGGGTTTGAACTCAGGTGCTGCGGAGTGGAAAGGCGCACTGCTTACCACTACACCACAGCGTCGAGTTGTAGTCTGCTTTTTTCCAATAGGCATAAACTGCAGTGGAAATTAACTATTAAACACCTTTTAAATGTTTGTAAATCTCTGAGCGATTTTTTTGTTTTATGTTTTAAAAATATCTGTGAATTGTTATAGTCGAAACACATTGAAAAGGACAACCACAGCTGTAAATTGTTCATCTTCGTTATCTAAACGCTCTGTCGATGGTGATATGAAATTTTATGAGTTTGTTATAAAACAAGAGGAAGAACTCATCTTTCGCTCGAAAAATATAAATAGATCTAAGCTGGTCACAATCCCAGACATGTTGTAGTTCAGTCGTCGCCAAAATAATTATCTACATACGCCGAAAAATTATTTCCAATTTGTTTAGAATATTATGCTCATACAAATTTGGTAATTTTTTTCTGAGTTCGGTAATTTTTTTTAGAGGTTTGGTAAAAAACTAAAAAATTTTGTGGCAACACTGTTTATAATTCAGTTTTAAACTCTTTGCTTTACACAAAAGCACTTAAATAGTGCAGAACATCATTAATATTTTTAATTTCACTCATTTTACTTTTGTTTACGCTTAACTAATTCAACAAATGGCAGCTTTTCACATTCCATCTTCTTCTTCTTCTGCTAGCTAATTTCTGCTAGGAAAATTTTCACTACCAAGAATTTGCAGCTCTCCCGTGTTATTACGCTCTCGATCAAGGCTCTCTTGCACATTTTTTTGGTTATTATATTATTATATTATATTAGTACTGACTATTTGTTACTATACAAACCTATGTTTTCTTTCATAGAACCGCTAAATTTAATTTCCCATATCAAGAAATTATTCTCAAATAATTCCGTGGTAACTATCTAGTTGAGCTTTCAAACCCCAAGATATTTTGTTAATAACTTTTGATCAGGTAAAAAAAGATAATTTCCGCTTTCGGATTCTTGTTATTGGGGACCAGACGCGTCTAATGGTACCCCCTTTCCAAAATTTTGACCAATTTTGGGGGTTGAAAGCCCACCTAGATAATTACGGATTGTAACCCTCACTTTCTTCTCCTTTCTGTATTGCCATAAAAAGAAGCCGATGTATTTCTGCGCAGAATTATACCCTCACAAAGTAGAATTCTCTTTCTGTGTTGCGAAGAAAAGGCGCTGAACACCTTTTGCAGAGAACACCTTTCTGCGTAGGTTAATAACTTTTGATCGGGTAAAAAAAGTTAATTTCCGCTTTCGGATTCTTGTTATTGGTACCCCCTTTCCAAAATGGTGACCAATTTTGGCGGTTGAACGCCCACATAGATAATTACCAATTCCGTTTAGGAAATCCTGGATGATTATTAAAAATTTTGGCATTTGAAAATCTTATTGAATACACCAAATATCATCAATAAATTTTTGGAAATACATCACCGCAGAAATTCCTAATCCCACAAACATTTTTGAATAAATGGCAACTCGGGAGATGTCACACAGCCCACTGTCAAATTTGACAAGCCGGCTGACTGAACGTACAACAAAAGCAACGCACACAACTTTTCTCACAGAAGGCGTGTTTTATCAAAACAAATAAAGTGGCACAAATAAAGGTATTTGAATAAAAATAAACTACAATATTTCTCATCTGTCTTTGGACTTTTCAGAGTTCAACCACAAACAAATATGGCCGGCGTTCTATTCGAAGATATCTTCAATGTGAAAGACATGGATCCGGAAGGCAAAAAATTCGATCGTGTCTCGCGGCTGCATTGCGAGTCTGAATCGTTTAAAATGGATTTGATACTCGATATTAATTCATGGTTATACCCCATGGAATTAGGTGATAAATTCCGCTTGGTGCTGGCTACAACTTTGCGAGAAGACGGCTGTCCGGACAGTGGCGAATTTAACCCGCTGGAACAGGAAGGCACACGTGCGGATAGCTTCGAATACGTTATGTTTGGAAAAGTGTATCGCATCGAAGGCGATGAAGCTCATAATGAAGCGTCTTCCAGATTATCAGCGTACGTTTCCTTCGGTGGCCTGCTGATGCGTCTACAAGGTGATGCCAACAACTTGCACGGCTTTGAAGTTGATCAACAAATGTACTTGCTGATGAAAAAGTTAGCGTTTTGATTCGCAGGGTTGCTGGATGTGCGTAGAGTTTGTACTTGTGTGTATTTGTAAAGCGTAGTTTTTAATAAATCTTAATACTGTACAAATAGGCGATGTTTTACATACCTATTTCCACTCTGAATCTAGTCTGGCAAAATAATTTTAAGTGGAAAATTATGGTAGGTGAGATAGCTTATAAGCTCATAAAAGGCGACCGCTATACATGCGAGGAATGAGTAAATTTTCAAATTCCAAACAGTTCATTATTTCATATCATGATCATTGAATATGCCAATTTTTCATATCGGAACAATGGAGTGCTATTGTGTAGAGCTGGGATACTATTGATAGTATTGATAGTTGAGAACTGTCGCCCGTATCGATAATTTTTGAAAACTATCGATGACGGTTTTAGCAAGACTTCACAATGTCTCTTCTTTACATCTCTACATTACATTATTTTTTTTTTTTATACAAGAAAATTCACAACACAGTCGTAAAAAAATTTAAGTCATTGGGATTTTTAGCAACTATAAGCTTACGCTGAGTTATAGTAAAATTTAATAAGCTATAAAAATGCTTACACAAAATTTTTTATAGAAATTCGAATTAGAAAGCTTGAATTTTTTAATTATTTTGTAGTTTTTTATGTTTTATAGAATTTTTATAAAAAATTAGTAGACACCAAATAAACAAAAAAATAGTCAAAACTTCTAAAAAATGTTGCAGTACCATATACGTTTTTTTTATAACATGGCAAAATGTTAATATTTTTCTTTGTCCGGATTTTGATATGCGTCTCCGTATTTGATCTCAGTTGAACGTTTATAAGTATGAGTTGTCAATTTAAACGAATATCTTATTTTGTTTGTTTTGTAGTAGTATAAATGTATTTTTATAGCCAGTTTCACTTCTTTGCACTTCAAAAGTGACAAAGAAATTCCGAATTTAATTTTGCCATATAAAAATTAAGTTCAGATTTTGCCTGTCGCTATTCAAGGGGATGCAAGTGTATGTATATAAGTTATATAATTCAGACGCATAAATTAAAAAGTTTATTTTATTTTTGTAAGAAGTTCTTTTTAATGCACTCAAATTAAAATAATATATATATATAATCTCTTAAATTTACAAGAAATTTATAAATTTTATAAATATATTAATTATTTAATTTCCAAGCAATTGAGCGTTTCAATTCAATACCTTCCACGACGATAGTACAATCGATACTATCGATGTTTTTAACTATCGTTTCGAAAACTATCGAATGGCGGTACTATCGAGTGTATACCAGATCTACTATTGTGAATAAAAGCTTATACCCTAACTAGATATACAAGTAACAAAAATACATCGATGTTTTTGAGCATCGAATGTACATCGATGTATCGAATAAAATTTATACAACATCGTCATGAGATTGTATTTACTAAAAGTATGTTAACATATTCAAAAAATTTCCATCATAGCTAGTTTGTTAATTACCCCGTACACAAAGGCACTTCGCAGATTTCTAGCCGTCAAATTTGATGTGCTTGTTATTCCCACAATTCAAGGAAAAGTAAAGTTTCTTCTCTGTGCCACCATGATATAACCCCACGCTTTGGTTTTTTTTTTTAGAACTGGATACTAAAACGGCTTTCTCACGGCACCTCAATTACGTTATTCGCTCTCTCATTCCGTAATTCGCACTCCAACTACTCTTCGAATTACGTAATTCCCGATACAAAATTTTGACCTTACTTGTTGGTAATTCAGATCCAATTACCATGTGAATTACAAATAAATCGGTGCCGTTTCTAATTTTTTTTCGGAAATTTATCGAACAAGGTCAAATAAAAACTTGCATTTTTTCTCAGTACGAAAGCAAAGTTTACAAATGTATATATCCCTAATTTAATACGGAAACTTATAAATTTTTAGAAAGAACCTACATTTTGCATCAATTTTGCAATGAAGAAAAACACAAACAAAATGGACGAGTCAGAAAACTGCCAATTTGAATTAAGACTGTGCTCGTGGGAATAGGGTAATTTGCGATCGTAATTGGAGGAGCGAACAAAGTAATTCAGGATGGCGTGGGAAACTGGTAAAGCTTTAAGCATAAAATTCAACGACTCGAAAATAAATACATCGATGAATAGATATATTAATTTATCGGAGCGGTCCAATGTATCGGTTTTATTCGAAGTATTCCAGCATAATATCGATATTTTATATGCATCGATGTTTTTAACACACCAACTGCTGTCGAAATCAGCTGTCCGCCGCAGTTAATTAATCAAATCGTTAAAGCGTCGGAAAATTGTTTTAATTTTTTTATCCAGAGTTTATTTTTATTGTAAACAGATACAATAACCTGGGTGGTAAGTGGAAGCATAGCTAAGTCTATTTTTTTTTTTAAATATGAAACTTCTTTGTCCAAATTAGAAACCGGTGCGGAAGCAACACTCACGTCTGCCACCTGAGGATAATTAAAACGTGAGACCCCGCAAGACATGTGCGATGGAATCTAACGATGTGCAGGTTGTTGCGTTCGATGACGAACAAATGTTTGCAGTCGGTAGAGCGCTGAAAGCCGTAGCCGATCAAGTATATGAAACACCCAAAATAGAGCCAATAACGTATAGTCAAGAAGAAATAATCGAGCTTCTAAGTGATTCTGAAAATGCTACTGATAATGACGACGGATCTGATTGTGAGATATTTGGGGAAATCTGTACAAATTTGGAACCTTTCCAGGAAGAAGTTAAGTTAGAGCCATGCAATGAAGAGAACACACTTGAATCCCAGATATTAAATAGTGGCGAACAATTGCCAACGCACCTTAGCAATGGCGTAGTCAATAATTTTTCGGACCGCGCTGTTTTGAACAACGATGCCGATGCAATCGCCCACTTAAACTACAGAGAATCAATAACGCAAAAACAAACTACGGCGGTGTTTTCAAATAATATTATTGTTTTGGATGATGACGATGAGGATCAGCTCTATAATGAAAATGGTGCAGAAGAGAATAATGATGAAAATAATTCAGGCTTATCTGATGAAGAAGAGAAAGAAAAAAAGTGTATCGATCTTTTGGAATTGGATTCAGATGATAATAATCAACCATCGACATCCAGTGGTAGCAAGGTTAAAAGTAATACATACAATTTAGAAGCTTTTCTCGTTTACCTATGCCCGCAGTGCGGCGTATCATGCGACAATATAAAAAAATGGAATGCTCACACCGATATTGTACATAATTTTCGTTCTATTTCGAAACTTAATTTGAAAACCGTTATAAGTCGACAAGGTGTGCTGAGCTATCAATGTAATTCGTGCGAAAAGAAATTTACTTCTGATACTGCATATAACTTCTTGCTAAGTCATCGCATTCGACACATGACGATTCCGGAATTTTTACGTTGCCGTTTGTGCGAGGAGAGATTTTCAAGCCGAAACTTATTTTTGAAACATTTCAAGAAAAAGCATAGCAAGGTTGCTTTACAGAAACTACGACGCACTGAAGCGATAAGATGTCATATGCGATTCATATGCCCGATTTGCAAAAAAAAATCTAAAAACCTGGGAGACTGGACGGAGCACTTAGACGAGGCACATGATTGGTATCAAAAACTACCGGAAAAGGTAACTACGATTAGGGATAATTTAGTTGAATGCAAAACATGCGCAGCTACATTTCGAACGAAACAAACTAAATTTCACTCACTGCGACATGAGCCAAACAAGCCTTTCCACTGCAAGCTGTGCAAAAATCACAGTGCATATAGCTTAGATGTTGTGGCGAAACACATTCGCGTGGAGCATTTTAAAGAGACTTCATATGACAGAGAATACCGATGTAATTACTGCGATAAGGTATTTGAACGGTATGCGCGACGAATCGCTCATATGGCTGAGGAGCACACAATAGAGTTATTGAGGTGCGATGTTTGTAGAAAGAGGTTCAACTCCACCGCGGGGCTGCTCACGCATATGACCAAGCTGAATCATCGAAAAATCAAGTAAAATAAAATATGTAAATACATATGTACATATGTAAGGATTGACTTTTGTACGGTACATTTATGTTGATAAGGAAGCTTCAGTTAACGATTTAGGGCGTATTTTTTAAATTTAGATTTTACAAAGCTTTAAATGAAATTTAATCGTAATGGAAAATAAATGCTGGCGTTGTGATATCAGATGATCATAGGAAAATATGATTTGCAATGCACATACAAACGTACCTATTAAGATGTTAGAGCAAAAATAAGAACTTTTTAATTTTTTTTTCAAACCTAATTATAGAAGTGCATTTATATAAATACATTTGGACTTCTGTTTCCAAAAATGCAAGTAAGAAAGCGGATTTTCATGAATAATGGGTGTGTACGGAAACGCATCAGTATCTTTTATATCTAAACTATTATTGATGGAAATGGCTTACTTACACAACCAAGTTTTAATTCGGATATTTCCATCAATTATTGCTTAGAAATACAAGGCGCTGATGCCATTATTTTATTTAGTTCGGTAACGATTTTATATACATACCTTAGTAAAATAATTATATGTGCATCATGTTTTTCCTCGATTTCTCTGTATTAAATAAGGGTAATGTTTTGTGTGGTATGCAATAATAATAGCCCTTGGTTTATAAGTATTTTCCATACATTAGGTTGGCATTCGTGTATAATTTTATCTACCGTTTCAGAAATCAGTAGTACATTCAATAGAAAATAATTATATGTGCATAAGGAGTTATTCGGCTTCCGATTGCTGCAATGTCATAAATTCCCAACAAAAAAGTTCACTAACAACTGGGTTTTAAAAACTTAAATATGTAGAAACTAGTTTCATATTAAAACTCGTTTTATTATTTTTCCATAATAAATCACGGCCCAATAATATCTCGAGCTCGGTAAGATAACGGGAAAGAATTTTCGTGGCATGAAATCTTGTTAAGAGTAGATAGTACAAAATCCCCATGGGATTTTAAACTAGACACTCAAAAAATGGGGTTTTCCTTTCTTGAATAACGATTTTGTTGTTTGCATTGCGTGAATAACATCGATTTTCTGGCGGAAAGTCCAAATATCTTCGGTTGTATTGTACTTATATTTTTTGGTAAATGCCAAAAGCTTATTTTCGTGTCATAGATTGAGCTGTGGTTTAGCGATTTATTTGTTTAGCCTAGGTACCAAGTCGGTATTTATTATTTGTTGGAAACTGTTTCTTGTGAAAAATAGATTCAACTACATATACATTTTTCAGCAAATCGTGTTGACCCTAGTAGCTAGACGTTGGATATGCCGTTTGGATCACTCCTTGAGGTTTGTATAGGATTGATTTCCATAGACTACAGAGTTTTTTAAGGTAATTTCATATTATATTTTGATGTCTGCATACTTTAGCAGTTATTTAGCTACCTTTCATGCCACGAAAATTCTTTATCGTTACCTTTCCGGGCTCTTCTTCAGACAGTTCAATGCCACGGGATATTATGGGCCGTGATATAATATGGGAAAATAATAAAACGGGGTTTAGTATGAAAATAGCTTCTACATATTTAAGTTTTTAAGACCCAGTTGTTAGTGTACTTTTTTGTTGAGAATTTATGACACTGCAGCAATCGGAAGCCGAATAACTCCTTAAGCACATATAATTATGGTCTATTGAATGTACTACTGATTTCTGAAACGGTAGATAAAATTATACACGAATGCCAACCAAATATACATATATGGAAAATACTTATAAACCAAGGGCTATTATTATAGCATACCACACAAAACATTACCCTTATTTAATACAGAGAAATCTAGGAAAAACATGATGCACATATAATTATTTTACTAAGGTACTTTAAAAAAAATTGTCGTATTAAGTTTAATATAATTTGAATTTTCAATAAAACAATGATTTTTACTAAGATCCTATCCATGTTTTATTTAAAAAGAATTGCAATATTAAGTTTAATATAATTTGAATTTTCAATAAAACAATGATTTTTACTAAGATCCTATCCATGTTTTATTTAAAAGAAATGGCATATTTTTCCGTAGTTGAGGAGACTACAATCGATAATCTTGCTTCTATCTAATCGAAGTTTGTTTCTGCATTGAAATCTTTTGTTTTCACAGCATATGGCAACGCTTTCAGGCAAATTTTGACATTTCTGCTCTCCCGCACGGCTGAGAGCGAGCGCGCGTCTGCTATTTTTCATAAGCCACAGAAAATAGCAACAAAACAACGGCAAAGCAATGAAAACAGCAACAAAAACCGAGAAAAACCGCACACGCACTTGCACAAATGCCAACAACGCTCATCCGCCAAAGACGGCGATGTGAAATGAGTGAGAGCAGTCAGAAATTCTTTTAATTAGTTTTAATTGCAGTAAAATTGTCAAAAACGCGGTGCAGTAAGCTGAATTTTACCAATTATTTGGCGAAATTCTAAAAAATAAAGTTAACTTTTCGCGAAGAATGTTAAATTCGGGCTATGGGCGTGTGTGACTGCATAAGAGACTAGCTGGCAGCTTGAAAATTCGAGACAGCGAAGTTGGCCTTGCACCCCCACCCAATTGGTAAATAAATTGATATATTTTAGCGAAATTTAGTTAATGGATTTCGTAATGTTTAATGGTAGTAAAGTTGCTTAAGTACCTACATACATCAAATGTGTAAGCTATTTTCCCGCTCGTACATACATGTGAATTGTAAAAATTAAGGGGCGGAGTACGCGTCGCTGCCGTGGTGCGTCTGCGGGAGACCACCGTTTTTTCAATGGTTGTATCAATAGAAGGTCTCTTCCTTGGCGAATAACTGGTGGTAAGTTATGGACGCTGTGTATAATTTTTGGAAGCTTGGTGTTTGAAGACAAACATATTTATCTACTAATCATTTTTTTTAAGGTGAACGGTTTAACTCATATTTTTCGATGGTGGTGGTTTATGCTCTTCTTGAAATTTTTTCTGATGGAATATAAATATTTAATTTTATTTAATATTTTCATCGTGGAATATACTAAATTTGGAAAGCTCGGAATGATAGGAATTGCAAGCTAGGCACTAGCTACGTACATATGTACATGTATACTTCAACCTGCTTACATGCCCATATGAACGCAATTGTATGTAAAAGTGGGAAAAATCGATAGCTTCTAATATAAAGTTTACGACACAAGCAGTATTTATTTAGCTTACTTTTGCTTGAAAACTATGTTGCGTACAAGAATCGTGGTTGTATGAAATTTTTCTAAAGCATACAAAATTCGAAAGACTTCAACGACGTTACAAACTCTGCCCTTGGTCCTTGCATTCTACAATTGAGAACCAACCCTCTAATAAGGGTGTAATTTTGTATGCGTTTAGGGCATATGTGTGTATGGACGTACATATGGTAGCTATACATTCACTTCTGTTCAATTTTCTATTCAGCCACGCGCAGTATGTGTTTTTACTTGGTGTTGACGTGATCAACAAATCTCTTTGTTACAATTAAAAACTGAACGCGTTTGCTGGTTTTGTTATCAGCACTTGAGGTGGATAACTGCTTGAATTGCGCGAATTGTTGTGCTTGCTGCCGAGCATAGATATGTATATTGAGTCATATTAAACCTATACATAATAAAATATTTTTTATTCTATGTACTTTTTCTCTAATAACAAAGCATTGCATTTTGCTTTATTTTCTATTTGAATATGCTTAACCCTTTTCGGTCATACACGCATATGTATATATATATGCTTGTGTTTATTTATGCGCATACTTTAAGGCAGAGCTTCCTAAAGTGGGTTCCGCTAAATTAATTTTTATATGAATAAGCACGGCGGTCGGTTTGAGTTGCACACAGAAAGAAAAGTTCTGTAAACAGCCTGACCGAGACGCAATTCCCACGACAGTCGGGTCTACTTAACCGGAACGACCCAGATTTTTATTTGGCCAAGGACTGTCACTCCATCAACACTCCCCAAAAACTCTTTGGGGAGCTTGTATGCTGCTACAACAACAACACGCAATTATCTATTTTTAAGTATACATATGTACCCGTAGTTGGTATCATTGCTTTTTTTTTTGTAACCGGTATGTGTTGTTGGCCGCTGTTGCCAAAGGGTTATATACAACTTTCTACAAGGAACGTGATGAATTGCCGAATGAAATGTGAGTTGTCTTAACTTGGTACTTGGTAAATCACTTAAAATCTTTGTCAGAATATTTTTCGGATGGTAGTAGTAATATCGGTTTGGTACAAAATCCATTTACGAAGCATTCATAGATCTCCGGCGTACGTCGCCATTGAAACACACATTTGAAATTGTGCGTCTGAAAGAGTTTTGCATTAATGTTCATACCGGGGACAGACATCTGGTATATCTTCGTAGCTTTTCCAAAATACCATATGTCTGTCACCAAATATTATAATACTCTTCGAAATACTATGTGAGCAACCTTGTATTATTTGTAGAAAGAATACAAATTTCCGATGGTTGACAGATAGCAGCTGCTCATTTATCAAAAAATCATTGAAATTTTCGGCCAATTGAAGCCAAAAGTTTATACCGCAAGTTTTGATGCAATATATAAGCAATTTTCGCAATACTTTTGCATTTTTATGTTTATGTATTGTTCTTCAGAAACATATTATTGGACACTGAAATACTAATTTAATGTCTGTCACTATGGTAGTATTTTAAATACAATAAATTTACCATTTATTATTTAAATGCAAATACCGGATGTGTGTACGATAATTAATAACAGTGAAACAATTTAATTCTTCACATAAAAATTTAAAGTATGTATACTATTTCTAGTAAAAGTTTTTATTCATATTTAAATTGCACTGCCTTTGAATTTTAGAAATTTGATGTGGGGTTCCATAAAATGAAAAGTGTTTAGTAAGGGTTCCATCATCTTAATAGTTTAAAAACCCCTGCTTTAAGGAAAACAAAATAACACGGCAATAAATAGTGACGGACAAACAGAAACTATTCAGAACGAAAAATGACACTGAAGATGGCACAACGCCGAAACCGGTTTGTCTCCAAACCAAATTTGACAAGGGATGACGGAAAATCGTTCCACATTACATCACACTCCTACCCTGTCGGAAACACCAACAACGAAAATGAGAAAACAAAATACTTACTCCTCGTGAACGAAAGACTTCAATTGTCACTGTGCCACAAACTCAATTTGCATTCGTTGTTTTTTCTTTATTTTGTATTTTCCCCTTGCATTTTACTTTTTGCAGCCTCATAAAGCTTTATTTTCGCTTGCTTGAAATTTTTGTTAGTTTGTTTTTTGCTTTTGCTGTTCGCGCATTTCATGAATTTTTAACGTGCTGGGGAATTTGCATTTGTATACGGCTTATTTTATCGCCCATTCGTCCGTGTTCTACTTATTTTTCTAGCGATTATTTTCTGTACAGCCATTTTTTATACAGTAACCCGTGATTTTTTACTAAAAGATTGTCACAACTAAAAAAACAAAAATTTTCACGTGACACATTTAAACTTTCCAATTTGCTTCCATAATATAGATGAGAGAGATGCGTTTTGTGTTCTTACGAGGAAACTGCACAAGTTTTTAGCATACAATTTCTACATCCATGATATAAACACTAATTCTGCGTCATTTCTTAAAAAAATTTATTTTTAAGAGCTTTTATTAGATTTCATGTGTGTGTAATCAAAACTTACATTCAAGTTTCAACCAGCTTTTCGATGGGGTAGAGATTTGAAACTTCATACTTAGCTCAGAACCCGTGGCGCAGGTGTCAAGATATCTGGAAAATCGGTATTTACGGTCCGATTAGTACATAAGTATATTACTTAAATGGAAAGAAATAAACCCACAACAAATTTAGCCTTTAGGGGGTGCGGGGTCGATTGGTTTTTATTTATAAATATAAATTTTATTTTTAGGTATTTTAGTAAATGAATGAAGAGTCAGTTCTTCGAAAGTCTACCGCCATGTTACGACTCTGATTAGCTTTAAGAAGGGAATTTCCATTAAATTATAAGTTCTCAACTCCTCTTATGGTTTGGCATATTCCTAGATCACAAGATTCCAAGCCAAATGCTTTATGCGCAAAGCAAAACGTCTCCCTAGCCGACATACTATTCGAGTTCGCCAGTCGAAGCGAGAAACTTAAATCAGTATCTAACCTCTCACATGAAATTGTGCGATTATTTCGCTGCAATATGATAAATATAATTTTTTTACTCCATACTCTTTTGAATTACCTTTCTTTAAATTAGATTTCATGGCACCAGCATAGAAGTGCAAATGCATGTTTATGTACTCAAGTAAAAAACAGTGCCAGCATTTGCTTATTCTGCGGAAATATACACATCGTTGCATCTGAGCAAAAACTATATTTCATGCTCGATTTGCAGAAACCTTATTTTTCACTTATATTCTTGTTTGTTGATTTTTAATGAAATCTGTGCTGTGTGCTTGAAAAAAGCACGTTCACATTTTGAACCGAATTGGAGTGTCGAGTCGTTTCCATTGTATTCAGTAGTAGTATTCTGAAGCTGTATAAGTTAAAGCACATGCTGTAAAGAGTTTAGAAAATACGGCATTTCGGCATGATCGGATCAAGGGCAGTGTAGTGGCTACAGAAGGCGAGGGAAAAAAGTGCAAAAATCTCTTTATGTGGCACCTCCTGCTTGCAACGCCACAGCGCCCAATTTCATTCAGGAGTACTGTGTACAATTTACTGAGTATTTCTATTGAACTCATTGCTCCAAATTCGCATATGCCAAAGAATCCATGCATGCATAAAGCAGGAACTATATACGAAACAGTAGCTAGCCACAGCCCAAAGTTCAGTGGCATAAGTCACCGTCAAAGCACAAAAAAATAAAATAAATGAATGTTTCGTATTACATTAACAGCTTGCATTTTACCCCTTCAGTGCAATTTCCACTTGAAACATTTATGGCCGCGGCCGTCGGCGTCATCGTCGCCACCGCTGCAGTCAATGTAACCTCAACCTCGCGTCCAACCGCCGATGAGTTTTGCCTCAGTTTTGGTTTTTAAATGTGAGCGCGTGTATATGTATGTGTGTCTGAATGGGTGTGTGGAACCATTGAGCAGCAAAATAACTGCAGCTGTTTGCTATTATAGGCGACCCAACGAAGTTTTTAATGCGCGCATTTGCGTATTTCCCGTAAATTACCAACGACGAAGTGGCAATTCGAATGGGTGAGGAGCCAATGAAGCGTACTTTCGTCGGATGAATGTTTGTGTGCATTTATGTATTTTCATATTACCGTATTTGTGCATATTTTCCCTCCGCACATATTCCTTAGATTTGGTTTAATGAATTTGCTTAGAGTTTAATTATACCTCGGCAATTGCTGTTGCTTCTGAGAATTCCATCCGATGCCTTCGACATGGTGATATTTGACGCTTCGTTGACTAGAGCTAAATATCGAGCAGTTCGACAGAGGTCAATATAAACATATGTATGTATTTCTATGTAGGTATGTATGTCGCTCATTTTCGCCGCATTGGATCTGCTTATTTTGCTGCTTCGGACTCTAAGCCGATGAAGCGTTGCTGCAACTCGTCCCACAATTGCTTTCTGCATTGCTTTTGTTTGCATGTCAGTGGTTGTTGTCTTGTTATTGTTCTTTTAGTTGTTGCGCATTCATAATTATTGTTTAATTTTAACACCCTCATCAGTAAATGCAACTGATGATTTTGTTACAGTGTGTTAGAGAAGCTGAAAATTTCACGAATCGAAACATAATATATTTCGATGGCCAAGTAAGCGTTGCTCTCCTCAGCTTAATAAGCGAGGGTCTGAAGCAACAACGACTCTTTAACAGTAGGCTCCTCGTGGTGGTTGACTTTTCGAAAGTCTTCGCGAGGCTTTTTTACGATATCCTTTCCAAAGGAGTATCTCATTTCTGTAACGATTTTTTTTACGAATTTTCAAAGAAGATTATATGAAGTGGTTGACACGAACTCGTAAAGAAATTTCTGTACGAAAAATAAAGAAAATTCTGGAAAAATTCTGAAAGATATTCTTCACATAGCAGCATTATTTTCGTTGCTTCACAGATTTTCTTCCGAAATTTCGTAAAAGAATGGAAGTGTGCGTAATTTATTTCATTTTAGAAATTTGGCAAAAAATCGAATTAAATCTTAACGAATTTTTTTAAATTTCTTTACAATGCAGAATACTCTGAAAAAATGGTTTGCAGGGAAGGTTAGAGAAATATGTAAGAATTCGATTAGAGAATTATTAGAAAAACACTAGACATTAGAGGCCAATTAGAATTCAACGTTAAAATCCGATTATTTATATCGAGAACTAAGTCCCCTTTTTGTGGAGAATGCTATAGATCTCAACAATTTATCTAATCGTCTTCTAATCACACAGAGCGG